TTCCTTTTTTTTTTTTTTTACCTACATAAATGTGGACTCGAAACACATGACCTGCCTCGAGTGCTTTTGAGCGAATGCAAGTGAAAGCAAGCACAGTATTTGATCTCTGCTGACATGGAAGGAAATAAGTGTCTTTTTTTCATAAATGAGAAATGTCTTTCCTACTGAAGTGTGTGCTTCTTGGAGGAAGACATTTGTTTTGGTGTTCATCACAGTGCCATGTCACTGCCTGTCTAACTGGAGGTCCCATGGAATAGCATTTTCATAAGAAGAACATCATTTGGATGTGCTTTGGACTACTTTTTAAAATAAAACCTTTCCTTGTAATGAGGGAAGGGATATGGGGCGGGAGGGTGGACTCTTCCCTCTTCAAAAATTGTCCCCTTTTTAGGGGAGCAGGGCAGTGCTCCCTAGGGTTTACATCCAGGTAACTTGGAGGGTCTGTTACATATTTTGTCCTAAATGTGTTTTTTCAGGTGAAAAATATTTTCCTTGATCTTATGTTGTAAACTAGCTGTATTGACTAGCTAATTTGTACAGTATAAAACAAGTTGTTTAATTTAGTGGAGTTTGTTTTTGTTTTGTTTTTTGTTTTTGTTTTCTTTCCATTGAAGAAATGGGGGGGGAGCAGTGAAAATGGGCACACTGGATCACACCAGTGTGGTGAATTGGGATTCCCAATTGGAATCTGATGGAAAAGGTAATATCTACATGACATTGCCTGACTCTTTTTGGTCCAGTTGTAGCAAGAATATAAAGGTGCCAGAAAGCACCACCATCTCAATTGGCACTTGTGCTGGCCTCCAAGGCATACACATCTGGTGGTGGTGGTTGTTGTTGTTGGTGTGTGTGTGTGTGTGTTTGTTTGTTTGGTTTTTTTAATAACTTTATGGTTAAGAAGGCACAAAATGACTGTAGTAATTAAATGAGAACATTCCTTCTAAAGAGAGAGAGAGAGACTGACATTTTTAATAAACTTCCTCACTTTTGGCAGAGGGGGCCTTTAGATGAAACATTTTTAAAATGTAAAATATTTATTTTACCTTCTAGACTATATTGATAAAGCAGGAACATAATGCGTCAAGACTATCCACATAATCATTGTTACTAGTCTTCATGACCTTACGATTGTAAATACAGATTATTTATTAACTCTGTTCTATACTGAACCTAGATTTTTAGTTTAGAGTTGTGGTGTTTAGTCTTTGTTTTTGTTTGTTTGTTTTTGGGGGGGGGGTTGTTTGGAGAAGATGGTGGAAATGGAAATGTATTAGCTACAAAGAGCAACTTTCCCATAAAGGATGTGGGTTTCAAGTAGACTAGCACATGGGGATAGAATGTTGTTTTCAATCTGCACTTTTTACGTCCCTACCCCTTCCTTCGCCCCCAGTAGTAGGTGGTAGTGTAGCAGCCTACCATTCTGCTGCTTTAAGAAACAACACCTGCTTTTAGTGGCTGTTAGTTCCTTTCTCTCTGTCTACTGCTTGAGAGGGGAAAGCATCCTTTTATCTAGTGCCGTTAAATGTACATGGTGCTTGACCATTGGTCAGTGTGCCAGACAGAACAGAATCCCTGCCCTGAGGAGGTTGCAGACCAGGAGTACAAATGGCTATGATCTGTAACTATGCAAAGAAGCTCCATTTTTTTTAATAAAGTAACTTGCAGACCACATATTCTAACTAGCAGTGTGCAAATGCAGAAGTAGGAATGCTTTGCATCCTACATGGGGATTTTTGGGAATCCCTTGTAGGTGAGGGAGGGGCTTGATGTATGTTAATGGAAGACTGTTCTGGGTGTAAAGGGCAGAATGATTATACCTATATATATTTTTAAACTTTTTTTTAATCTTTCCAAAAAGGAAAAGAAATGAACAAGGTGAAACTCTTTTATGTACAAATATTACCTCATTGTTGTATGACTGATTTTTAACCTTTTGGATCAAGCAAAGTTTAAATGTATAGCAAACTTTAAAGCTACTGTAGTACTAAAAAAACCTAAATGCTGTACATAATCAAAAAACTCTTTGCAGAAAAATATATTCCCAGTAAGGAAATGGCATTTGAAGAAAAATGTTAAATACTGTTTCTAATGTTATGTTTGGTTTTTTTTCTATCTTGTATACAATTGCTTGTGATATAAATTATTTTCTCATTTGCCATAGGAATAGTTAATCACAATTGTATAGATACGCTATTTAAATAATTTATCAGAAATGCTACTTGTAGCGTTAGTATTTCTATTTTTATAAGATGTTTGCACACTGAATTGAAGATCTCTTTTGCTTCCCTCCCCATGTTTTTTCTATTGGCATAATTTTCTAAGAATGTGCTTTTTTTGTATACTTTTTTTAACCATGTTACACTTTAAAGCTGTGTAAGTTGTACACAAATTTCTTGCATACAAGGGACAATAAACCAATATGGACATTTATATTTATACCTCTTGCGTCTGTTTCATTTCTTCCCCATGCCTTAAACTGACCCAGCCAACATTAAGTGGTCTAGATACTTGAATCTGGCTTTCAGACCTGAATGAAATCTAAACAGCAGTTACTGCATGAACAAGCCCAAACCTGCATGCAGATGCCATGAAATTGGGGGCATTTGCTATAAATACAGTAGGACCAGATCCAAAATGCCCACCATCCAGTGATCCTGGCCAAAATGAATAAAATAGCAAGACTCCCATTGATTTACATTGGATCTAGAATTTCATCCCTTCTGCTAAGCACAAAATTAAGAGCTGGAAGACTTCCCAATATGTAGCCTGTATTTAAATTTGTATTGCATCAAGGTTTGGAGGTAGACTGGGAGTTTGACTAAGTTGATGTCAATTCCATCTACTCACTGGCTCTTGAAACCTAGTACCAGGAAGTCACTTGCTGCCACAGTACTATGGTGATTTTTTTCATTGCTAGCAGATTAATGTGAAATTGTTTCTCCTCTCTTCCCCAACACACGTTTAAGGAGGCTCATATTAGAAATAGTGCTCCCCTATGAGACTGAATGAAGGAGGCTACTAACTGTGGAGTACATTTGTATCTAAGTGTGCTTAACCTGCCATCAGGAGATGGCAAATTATCTATCCCTTTTAATTAAGAAAACATAGCATCTACATCAAGTAAACTAGAGTCTGGCATATACACCATTGAGGTCCCCCCTCCCAAGTATATGAGGATGAGGGCTGGAAAGTTATGAAACAGAAGTTGGATTGCTCTGAGGTCTCCCAACTGCTTCAGGAGTACATCATGATAACCATTTAAAAAAAACAAAAAAAAACCCAACTCCATTACAGAAATCCCTGCTGGGTTGCAGCAGCCAGTGCTACTTGGTCAGTTCTCAGCTCCTAGAAAACTGATAAAACTCATTTTCCACAAGCTAAATAACTACAGCAGACATGAAAAGCACACCGATCTGTGTACTAGCATCCATATCCTATCCTTAATTGTTACAACTGAAAACAATTTTAGACCACTTCTTTGAAAAATCAGTAAGAGGTCCTGGGTAGTTTTTTGGTGCCCCAGTGTTCTTTCTTTTTTTCTACCTCAAATGTATAGACTGCCTCACTAGGACTTGCTCTCCATAAAAGATGGAAAATAGCTTAGGAAATATCTGCTATGTTAAAGAAGCATTTGCTGCAAGGAATATTTAAAAGGGAACCAGCAGAACATTACCCTTTGTAGAACAATTTCCTCCATAATATGGAACTCCATACTTTTCCAAAAAGTTTACACACGGCAGTATACTACTGCACTGCTACAACACTGCTTAACAGGAGGGAAAGCAGGAATAAAATCTTAATTTGGTTCCTCATATCTTGCGCAAGTAGCAGAAGATCTGAATCTGATTCTACATAGCTTTTTGAAGTACTCAATACAAACTCTTTACCACAACCGGGATTAGATTCTTAGTGGCACAGAAAGCATGCAACTTGCCTGTCTGCCAGGTGTCTACACACACACACATATGAATGCACAACCCTGTTCTTTGTACCTCCTAGTCCTAGGCCATGGTTTCACTGGTTCAGGCATTGGTGGAGCTTTATGCAGCCTCACAACTTCACATTCTTCCCTCTACACCCAAGGAACTGTTCAGCCATTGAAACAAGATGGTCAGATGTCAGAAGTAAATTTTTTCTAACTGTAATTTTTCTTCCCTTGCAGTAGGCTACAATGCTCCACTTCCATTACAGCAAAATTAATTTCCCCTTACCTTCTAAGCAGAGGCTCTCCTTTTTTCTTTTCATTAGTATAGGTGGATTTCTTCAGCAAACTGATTGCCTCTCTAACTCTACAGCAAACTACCCAGATTGAAAATGGAAATGACAAAATATGATTAATAACCATGTTGAAAAATAAAGAATCCTCCCTGAAGTTTGTTAATCTACCCATTGATCCATTTATTAAAGATGAAACTGAAGATGCGTAGGAAAGCACTGTAAGGAAATCTTAAGATTTCCTCTCTCCTAACAGAAATGAGCCCTAAGGGAAAAAGGAAAGATTGAAATACTACCCCTGCCCATACAGCAGGGCAGGTTTCTCCCACCTGTCAAAAAAGAAGTTTAAAAAATTCCTGTGGCCATAATCAGTTACTTGGTTAATCTGGGGGTAGGATCTTTAAAAAGGAGGACCCCTGCAGTGTAAAAAGCAAATATTCTGAAACAAGCTCATCTGGAATGAAGAGCTTTCCTAACATGGGCTCTAGAGTTATGTATGGGGAATGACATATATGTACCACCTGCATAAGCTTTTCCGAGTAACAATAGATAGGCTAGTTTTGCTTTTTTATTATATTATTATTATTGTTTAACATCGAGACCCAGTTTGAGTTTTGGCTAAGTGTGAACAAGACAAAGGTTGAGGCCTCT